GTGAATTTGTATACCAACATCAACATTTTCGTCTTTGTTCGTAAATAATTTCATTGTACTAAAGGGTTATAGTAGTAGAAAGTCAAATAAGGAGATCACCATATTTTTTTACAAATACCATCTGTGTGAAAAAGCATAGTGGACTCCGTGACTGATGTTCTCTTATTGTTCCTCTTAGATTGTTTACTATAATGTAATATAACAAAAACTTTAGCCACAGCAACGCGTGGCCGGGTCAGCTAGTACTTTACTATAAATCCGAACCATCTTTTTTTAAATCGATTAAGTTAAGGCTTATCTTAGCAACTACTGTCCCCACCCTCCCTCTCTTTTCTTAAAAAGTACCTCACTTTCCAAAATCAGTCTTATCTTAGCAACTGCTAGCCCCACCCACCCACCCTTTCTTTTCTTAGAAAGTACATCATTTGCCAAAATCAGTTTTATCTTAGCAGGTGCTAGCTAGTATTTGATAATATAAGACTGACTTTGGCAAATAATATACCCTTTAAGAAAATGGATGGTGGGTGGGCGGGTCTAGTATTTGATAAGTTAAGACTGATTTTGGCAAATGACATATCTTCCAAGAGAATAGAGGGTGGGTGGGTGGGGCTAGTATTTGATAAGATAAGACTGATTTTGGCACTTTTGATATATTCGACCATTTTTCAACTATGGCCGAAAATTAGCCACCCTATCTTTTCTTAGAGAGTAGATCATTTGCCAAAATCAGTCTTACCTTAGCAGGTAGTAGCCCCGCCCACCCTCCCTCTCTTTTCTTAGAGAGTATCATTTTCCAAAATTAGTCTTATCTTAACCAGTAGGTGTGTGCAGTGTTGCCTATTTTACTTTTATAAAATCAGTTTTTTTTTCGTAGTCTACATCATAAAGAATTTTTTAATTATTTTTTGGGACTCCGGAACATATACATAACGTACTAAAGAGTTAGTCCGCCATTTTCCAGACACCCGATATAACGAAATTTGTTTGTTGTCAAAAAACAATTTGCCATGAAAATTTTGAAGAAAAAAATGTAAGAATAAAAGGAATAGGACAGGAAATTCGATAATTAATTTCCACTGACTGCAATCTAGCTTGAAACTTTAAAAAAAATTTGAAACAACAACTCAGTTAAATAGTAGAGAACAGTATTGAGTTCTCCTTTGGAATCCTATAGGAATGTATTAAATTAATAAATGTGATCACTATTGATTATAGACATTTCTCGTGTTTTTTTTTGCTGTGATATGATTTTTTTCCGTAGAAATTTCGTGCATATAAATGCCCATATTTTGACAAATATTTCTGCTTATAAATCGGCTCTTTAAATTGATAAATTAATGTAATGAACGACTATAAACGCACCATAACCGCTAATTATCACCAAGAACAAATCGACGTTCTCAAACGGACGGACTATCATTAAGACGGGAGGTTATCATTTATGCAAAACCAAAAAATATGTACCGAAAATATTTTCTATTATCTCCACAAAGACAGACTTACTCTTCAAACTGGTTTCGTAGTTCGTTAGAACTAGAACAAGTATTAAATTCGTACAAACCGGTTCAGTTTTTACCAAAATGATTGTTAACGAAATACTAAAAGGTAAAAATTTTAGTCCGTCTTTGTAAAATATAACTTACATTTCAGATGACAGTCTTTTACCGTTATTAATACTACCAAGGACTCTAAACTCGCACAAATTTGTACAAAAAATCAGTTACTTCTATTTGAGCTTTATGCTCATGACGGTTGTGGCTGATGGCATTGTAGTTGCACTAACAAATCAGTGGAATTTAATTGCCAGTAGATATACGTCCCTAGGTGGTGGATTTTTCATCGTACGGTTGAAACTATTTGTTTGACTAAAAAAATTATTATTGTGTTACAGGTATTAACTAGTTATGTGGCGCTGTACCACCCCAAAGTAGTCGCTATGACTCTGAATACATATAACCAAATTTTTCCGTCCCTCTGGCCTTTAGACTTTAACGGATGCAGACATAAATTTGAAAAAATGGCAACGTTAACCAAAATCGGTGCATTGTTGATGATAGTAGGCGTTCTAGTAATTGCAACTGCAGGTCTACCATGGTACGGTAATGAATATGACGTGTATTTTCCTGTGAAAGTAGCCGTCGACTATTTGAATAAGTTTGCACTAAATGTGTATTTATTCTTCTTCTATACGTTATTTTATCACTCTGGATTCACCGTACTTTCTAACGTTTTTTATCTAACGTACTTCATACTGCATTTATACAACCAGTTCTGCATGCTTAGTGAAAAACTTAGAACATTGTCTGACTCTCAACGTCAAGAACTGGTGACGCAAGATCTGATTTCCTGTATCAAACTTCACCAAACACTATTTGAGTATGAAAGTAAGTTGTTAATATAGTCTACTATGGGTTTTGTATTTTCAGATACACAGAAATACTCAACACTTTGTTATATTACCCGATATACTTTTATTCAGCTAGCGGAGTTATAATAGGATTGGTTATAATTCTGTGTCCTGTAGGTAGACGTTGCCTAAAAATTTTTCAATTGTTTTGATTGCTTTTAGAGTAATACACCAGCGGATTTACTAAGGGCGACTTTCCTGGCACTATTTACGATTTCTGCGGCCGCTGGTTGTTGCTTTCTTGGACAAATACTAGAAAACTCAGTAAGTACTTGTCCAGTTTTGTAAAATCTGCCATCATTGTAACAATTTCTTAGTCTGAAGAAATTTTTAACTCCGTTTATGGTACACCATGGTATGCATGGAATTTCAAAAATAAAAAACTAGTTCTGGTTTTCCTTCAGCTAAGTCAGCGAAAAGCAGTTTTGTCGAGTTCTGGACTAATAACCATAAATCATCAACTACTAATAGGAGTAAGTAAAACTTAGAAGTAAATTCTAGCTGTTGTATTTATTAATCGTCGTAGCTTTTTCAAGCTATTTACTCCTATACAACGTTTTTAATCCAACAACGGGATAACAAGCATTGAAAGGAACACTAATAAGAGTTAAGATTGTTGATCTAGTGTAACTATGGTTTGTGTCATACGCTGCGAAATTATTAAATCAAATCAACATTCTAAAGGTTTTAGATGTTAGTTTTCTAACGCAAGTAATTAGTAAGCACATACATTAATTAAGAAAATTTAGAAAAATGTCTTTATCTGTTCTTTTTTTCTTGGTACTAAATGATGGGTGTTCTATTTTGATACTTGCTTTTTCATGGATAAGGATTCTAGTTTAATTTATTTACTGAGCACTTGTTTCATAATTCATTAAGGAAATGAACATCAAAGTACATTAATTACACTTATTGATTAGTCTATTTTAGCGTTTTAGATTGTAATAAGATGACTTTCAAGAAAATACTCAAAGATGACAGTATTTATCCAATATTAATATTACATAGAATTCTGGCCCATCACAAGATTGTACAAAAAATCTTATTTACTAAGAGCAAAATGTGAGTGTCTGAATTTATACTTACTTAATCATTACGAACAGTATTATGTTAAGTGTAGATGCCACGTTATTTGTTGTTGTTATATTGATAAAAATAAAATGCTTGAAATATAACACTTTTTTTTCTATAAACCCTGAGTCTGAATTCTTTCAAATGACACGTAGATCCATTGCCTAGATTATTATTTTTTTATTTCGTTTATGGTAAAAGATTAAGTACTAAAGACCTACCAAGATACCTAATGAACAAATCGAAATTCAATGAGGTACAGACGTTCTAGATAAAACATTAATGTTCCCAAGAAAAGAATAAATACAAAATAAATAAACAAAACTTTCAAAAATTTCAAATCTAACTATACTAAATCCCCCTGTCAAATTAGAGGTTTTCCGCTAGTATGTTTATGTTTTAATCGTTGCTAAACCGTTGTTATGGTTTCTTTTGCGCTGACAAAGTTCTGACTTCTGACTTCTTTGAAGTGCCAAGATTAATTTATTTATTTCGTTTATGTTAAAAGATTAAGTACTACGCAGATCCCTAATGAACAAAACGGTATTCACTGATGTACACACGTCATAAATAAAACATTAATGGTCAGATGAAAGGAATAAATACAAAATAATTGTGTGTTGGAACAAACGTAAAATCACACTCGCTACGAGTAGAACAAAATGACGGTGCGGAAAATCCTGAGAAGCTAGCTATAAGTGCGTGGTGTAAAATTTTTACTTACAATTGCGTTTTAGATGATAGTCTTTTACCAATATTAATTCTACCCAGCACTCTGTCCCGAAACAACGTAATACGAAAAATTAGCTTGTTCTACTTCAGTTTTCTGGTCACATCAGCTATTGTTATTTGCAGTGTAATCGTCGCAACAAATCAGTGGAATCTATTATTAACCCGGTATTTCTCGCTAGTTGGTGCATTTTTCATAGTATTAGTTGGAAATATTTTCTACAGTATCAAATTTTATTACAGTGTTTTAGGTATTAACCTGTTACAAGAACCTGTATCAGCCCAGCCAAATCAAAATGTTTTGGAATATTCACAGTGAAATATTTCCCGCTCTGTGGTCTTTGGATGTTGCCGGATGTAGACAAAATTTCGAAAAAATAGCAAACCTAACGAAAATCGGTGCAATGTTTATAATAATAGCCGCTCTATTCATGATAACTGGATGTTTACCATGGTACGGAGATGAGTATGACGTGTATTTGCCAGTGAAAGTGGCCGTAGACTATTTTAATAAGTATGCACTAAATGTGTATTTATTCTTCTTTTATACACTTCTTTACCACGCTATGCTAACGATACTTTCCAATATTTTGTGCTTAACGTATATGATACTACATTTATACAACCAGTTTTGCATGCTGAATGAAAAACTTAAAACACTGTCTGATAACAAACATCAAGATCTCGTTACACAAGAACTGATTTCCTGCATCAAACTTCATCAAACGCTACTTAAGTATAAAAGTAAGTCGTGAAATAAAAACTTCTATAACTTTTGTATTTTCAGGTTCGTAAAAATGATAAACAATTTGATATATTACCCCATATATTGTTATTCAGCTAGTGGAGTTCTAGTGGGACTAACTATAATTCTGTGTCCTGTTAGTACACGCTGTACAAAAATGAACGCACTTTATTTTCTTGATTTTTCTAGAAAGTTTCACTCCTGGACTGGGGGAGGACGATATTAATGTCAATGATGACAGTCTGTATAGCAGTGGGTTTTTGTTTCCTTGGACAAATCATAGAGAATGCAGTAGGTATTTCTTCGGTTTTATGAAATTTCAAGCCAGTGTGTCAGTTTTGTAGTCTGAAGAAAATTTTAACTGCGCTTACAGCACAAGATGGTATGCCTGGAACGTCAAAAATAGAAAACTGCTCCTTTTTTTTCTTCAACAAACGCAGAGAAAAGCAGTTTTTTCGAGTTCTGGAATAATAACTATTAATTATCGACTTCTGATCGGAGTAAGTAGAAGTTAACTTTTATTTAACTAATTAACCTAGCTTTTTCGAGCTGTTTACTCCATAGCGATGGTTTTTATTAATGTGTCGGCACATTATCACTGAAGAAACGATACGAAAAATGTAGACACGACTTCTGATATAGACTGGGGAAATATTTGATATATAGTGACAGTGATTTAAATTAACTCAAATTTTATAATATGTACTTATTATACATGAATATATTTAATGAATCTTTTTACATATTTAGCCACGAAATTAAAGTTTTGAAAAAAATTCAAAAAATGTCATATTTCAATAAGCGATTGTGGAAAAATGGTAGGATTTATCGAAGAAATGAGGACGAAGTAACTTCTGGAAGCGAAATTTACAAGAAAATATCTTTGGTTAAGTTTAATATATAGTTGCAAAAATCTCAAATTTTTATTTCATGTATTGAAAAATTTTGGTTTTAAAAAAGTTGTCTAAAAATCTCAAAAATTCTGGTATATAGGTTTCGAAGTGCAAATTCCAAAAAAATAGCATGCTTATGGATGGTTCTGAGACAATACTTTAGAAATATTCGGTTTGAATTCAATTTTTGAAAAAAAAAAACTGTTTTTTAATAGGCAATTTTGGGAAAATAGTAGCTGTTATCGAAGAAATGACGCTAAAAATAAATTCTAGCAGTCGAAATTTACAAGAAAAAGTCTTTGGAGAATTTCGAATCTTGTCAAAAAATTCAGAAGCTTTTCAATTCTTGTACTGATAAATTTTGGTTTTATAAAAGTTACTCCCCTACGTAAAAGTCCACAAAAAATTTTAGTATATAAGTGTCGGCGTGATGATTCAAAAATATAACTCGTTTATAATCTTGGGGCAACATTTTTAAAATGTTCGGTTTGAAATTGAATTTTTGAAAAAAAATCCAAAAAACTGTCATATTTAAATGGGCGATTCCGGAAAAATGGTAGGAGTTATAGAAGAAATGAAGCCGAAATCAACTTCTACAGCAAAAAAAAGCACCAAAATTATGTTAAATATACTCTGTTTACGACCCCAGAGCAAAATTTTAGAAATATTGGGTTCGAAATTAAATTTTTGAAAAAAAATCAAATAATGTCGAATTTCAATTATCGATTCTGGAAAAACAGTAGGAACTACCGAAGAAATGAGGACAAAGCAACTTCTGGAGTCGAAATCTACAAGAAAATGCCTTTGGTTAAGTTTCAAAGCTGGTTGCAAAAATCTCAAATTTTTACTTCGTGCATTGAAAAATTTTGGTTTTAGAAAAGTTGTATAAAAATCCCCAAGAAATTTTGGTATAGGCTTCGACGTGCACATTTCAAATACAACGATAGGAAAAATGTAGACACGACTTGTGATATAGACTGGGGAAATATTTGAAATATAGTGACAGTGATTTAAATTAACTCAAATTTTATAATATGTACTTATTATACATGAATATATTTAACGAATCTTTTTACATATTTAGCCACCAAGAATATCAACCAACAAGTCGACATTAACCAACGCATGGGACCATCATTAGAAGGTTATTATTTGTACAAAACAAAGGAAATAAGGAGTGTTGGAAAGACTTCTTTTTTATAGCCAGAAAATTACATTTATTTGTGGAATCTTTTTCGTAGTTCGTTGAAACGAAAACTAGAATAAAATTTTGTCAAAACTGATTCAGCTTTTACCAAAATCGCGATGAACGAAATACTGAAATGTCAATTATCGTATTTGTAACATATTTGTAACATATAATATAGACAGTCTTTAACTGATGTTAATACACTAACTCCAAAGCCTTTTAACACATGCACACATTATGTTTATATTAATTTAGAAAATTTAGAAAGATTATCTGTAGTTGTTTTCTTGATACAAAATGACGGGTTTTTGTAAATTACTTCTATTTTGATACTTGCTTTTTGATGGACAACGCTTAGGGCTTAATTTATTTACTGAGCACTAGTTTCATACATAATTAAGTAAATGAACATCAAACTATATTAATTACGCTTATTGATGTACTGGCGGTATCACCAAAGCACGAGAAACATTAGTTTATTTTGGTGAACGGTGCCTGCGAGTGACACGTATGCATTTAAAAGTACTTTATTTTGATATCTGTGTTAGGAAGTAGATTTAATTGTTCTACGAAGATGACTTTTACGAAAATACTCAAAAATGACAGTATCTATACAATATTAATATTACCCATAATCCTAGCCCGACACAAGATTGTACAAAAAATTAGTTATTTCTATTTCATCTTTATAATCACTACAACAATTGGTGATTTTATTGTAATTGTATTAACAAATCAGTGGAATCTGATTATTACTCGTTACGTATTCATAACAGGGGGAATTTTTATAGTATAATTAAAATAACTTATATGTGACCAAAGTTCCATTATACTATTTTAGACATTAACCAGTTACATGACACTGTATGTTCCCATTTACGTCAAGATGTTTTGGGACATTTATAACAAAATGTTTCCCCGTCTCTGGCCTTTAGATTTGGTAGGACGTAGAGAAAAGTTTCAACAAATAGCAAATCTCACAAAGATTAGCGCATTGTTCATGACAATAACTACTCTAGGATCTGTAACTGTGGCTCTACCATGGCACGGAGATAAGTATGACCTGTATTTTCCCGTCAAAGTAGCCACAGACTATTTCAATATATATGCACGAAATTTGTATTTATTCATATTTTATACGCTGCTTTACCACATTGGATTAACGATAATTGCCAACTTTTTTTGTGTAACATACATTATACTACATTTATACAATCAGTTTTGCATGCTCATTGAAAAACTTAAAACACTGTCAGGCAACAAACATCAAGGTCTGGTGACACAAGAACTGATCTGCTGCATCAAACTTCACCAAACACTTCTCGAGTACAAAGGTGAGTTGTAAATCACAATTTGTATTGCTTTCATGTTTTCAGATACGTTACAATGGTCAACACATTTATATATTATCCGATATATTGTTATTCAGCTAGTGGGGTCGTAACAGTATTAACAATATTTTTTTATCCTGTACGTAGACACTGTACGAAAACTAACAACTCCATAGATTTGAATTTATTCTAGAAAAAATCCCTATTAGTTATAATACAGACAACATTCATAGTAATAAATACAGTCTGTGTGACAGCAGGTTTTTGTTTCCTTGGACAAATAATAGAAAGTGCAGTAGGTATTTCTCCAGTTGTACAATCTACCATCCAATGTGTTACATTTTCAGTCTGAGGAAGCTTCTAATTCCGCCTATAGCACAACGTGGTATACATGGAACATGAAAAATAGGAAACTACTTCTGTTTTTTCTTCAGCAAACGCAGAGAAGGGCAGTTTTGTCAAGTTCTGGAGTAATAACTGTTAATTACCAACTTTTGATAAGAGTAAGTAAATTAAAATTTAGTTGATAATTAATACTGTTTATAGCTATTTCGAGCTATTTACTCTGCTCTGATGTGCCTGATACATTTATCGAAGAACAACTTTTGAAGGAAAGACTGGACAGGAAGTCATACTTAAGATTTAGAGCAACACGCGAGTTTTTGAATTTATGTTTACTTAATCATTATAAACAGTATTATCTTAAGTGTAGATGTCATGTTAATTGTTGTTATATTGATGTAAATAAAATGCATGGAATGTAACTCTTTTTTTTCTATAAACCCTGGTACTAAGCTGACTTCTAATTTATATCACAAAATAACAAAACAAACTTGAATTACTTAAAACAATTAATTATAAAATACAAAAATCTGTCAAAAATTTTATGTGTTTATATTTTCAATCATTGCTCAACCATTGTTATAGTTTCTTTTGCGGTTAAAAAGTTGTAACTTCTCAATTCTTTCAAATGACAAGTAGATTCACTGCCTAGACTATTTTTTTTATGCCGTTTATGTTAAAAGATTACGCACTAATGACCTACCAACACACCTAATGAACAAATCGATATTCACTAATGTACAGACGTTATAAATAAAACATTGATGCTCAAAAGAAAGGGGTAAATACGAAATAAGTGATAGTGTGTTGGAACAAAGATAAAATCACACTTGCAACGAGTAGAACAAAATGATCTGGAGAAAAATTTTACTAACACTTGAGTTTTAGATGAGAGTTTCAAACAATACTGTATTATCATTTATCCGAAACAAAAAATTATGTAAGGAGTTGGAAAGTGTTGTCTTTTATCCTCATCAACACACATTTATGGGTCACGGTGGTTTCGTAGTTCGTTGGAACGAGAATAGTAACACAATTTTGTGCAAGCTGAATCAGTTTTTACCAAAATGACAACCAACGAAATACTGAGAAGCGAAAACAAATTCATTAAAAAAATAATTACCTCTATTTGAGCTTTTTGCTTATGACAGTTGTGGAATCAGTGGAATTTAATTTTCACTAGATATTCGTCCCTAGGTGGTGGATTTTTTATCGTAGGGTTGAAAATATTTGTTTCACTAAAAATGTTTCTTATTATGTTTCTGGTATTAACTAGTTATGTGACGCTGTATCATCCCACTTTAGTCCGTATGAGTCTGAATTGATATAATTAAATGTTTCCCTCCCTCAGGTTTTTAAACTTTAACGGATGTCGATTTAAATTTGATAAAATGGCAACGTTAACCAAAATCGGTGCATTATTGATGATAGTAGGCGTTCTATTTAAATAAGTATGCACTAAATGCGTATTTGTTCTTCTTTTATCCACTCTGGATTCACCGTAATTTTTAAAGCTTTATTTACTCAGTCTTCTACCGATGTTAATACTCCCCAGGACACTAACTCCAAAACAATTAATTCACGCTTATGTTTCCAAAATACTAGGCATTTTAAAACTTTTAGATGTTGGTTTTCTAACGCAAGTAATGAGTAAGCACACACATTAATTAAGAAAATTTAGAAAAATGCTTTATCTGTAGTTTTTTCTAGATACTAAATGACGGGTGTTCTATTTCGATATTTGCTTTTTCATATACAAGGACTCTAGTTTAATTTATTTACTAAGCACTTGTTTCATACATAATTAAGTAAATGAACATCAAAGTACATTAATTACACTTATCGATGTCCTGGTGGTGTAACCAAAGCACGAACAAGATTAGTCTATTTTGGTGAACTGTGCCTGCGAGTGACACGTATACATTTAGAACTACTTTTGAAATTATTTTAATATCTTAAAAGGAATTAAAATTCTGTGTTACGAAGTAGACTTAATTGTTCTACGAAGATGACCTTCAAGAAAATACTCAAAGATGACAGTATCTATACATTATTAATATTACCCAGAATTCTGGCCCGACACAAGATTGTACAAAAAATTAGTTATTTCTACTGCATCTTTATAATCACTACAACTATTATTGATTCTATTGTAGTTGTAGTAACAAATCAATGGGATCTGGTTATTACTCGTTATGTATTCATAACTGGTGGATTTTTTATAGTAAACTAAAATAATTTGTATGTGACCAAAATTCTGTTATTTTATTTTAGACATTAACCAGTTACATGACACTGTATGTTCCCATTTACGTCAAGATGTTTTGGGACATTTATGACAAAATGTTTCCCCGTCTCTGGCCTTTAGATTTTGTAGAACGTAAAGAAAAGTTTCAAAAAATAGCAAATCTAACAAAAATTGGCGCGTTGTTCATGACAGTAACTACTCTAGGAGCTGTAACTGTAGCTCTGCCATGGCACGGAGATAAGTATGACCTGTATTTTCCCGTCAAAGTAGCCATCGACTATTTCAATATATATGCACGAAATTTGTATTTGTTCATATTTTATACGATGCTTTACCACGTTGGATTAACGATAATTGCCAACCTTTTTAGTCTAACGTACATTATACTACATTTATACAATCAGTTTTGCATGCTCATTGAAAAACTTAAAACACTGTCTGACAACAAACATCAAGGTCTGGTGACACAAGAACTGATCTACTGCATCAAACTTCACCAAACACTTCTCGAGTACAAAGGTGAATTGTAAATCACAATTTGTATTGCTTTCATGTTTTCAGATACGTTACGATGGTCAACACATTGATATATTATCCGATTTATTGTTATTCAGCTAGTGGGGTTGTAACAGCATTAACAATATTTTTTTATCCTGTATGTAGACACTGTACGAAAACTAACAACTCCATAGGTTTTGAATTTATTCTAGAAAAATTCTCTATTAGTCGTACTGCAGGCAACATTCATAGCAATAAGTACAGTCTGTGTGACAACAGGTTTTTGTTTCCTTGGACAAATAATAGAAAGTGCAGTAAGTATCTCTCCAGTTGTACAATCTACCGTCCAATGTATCATATTTTCAGTCTGAGGAAGCTTCAAATTCCGCTTATAGCACAACGTGGTATATGTGGAACATGAAAAATAGGAAACTACTTCTGTTTTTTCTTCAGCAAACGCAGAGAAAAGCAGTTTTGTCAAGTTCTGGAGTAATAACTGTTAATTATCAACTTCTGATAAGAGTAAGTTAATTAAAATTTAGTTGATAATTAATACTGTTAATAGCTTTTTCGAGCTAGTTACTCTGCTCTGATGTGCCTTATACACTTATCGAAGAACAACTTTTGAAGGAAAGGCTGGAAGAACATTCAATAATTAAGATATTGTGTTTAAAATGGACAGGAAGTCACACTTATTTAGAGCAACACGTGAGTTTCTGAATTTACGCGTACTTAATCATTATAAACAGTATTATGTTAAGTGTAGATGTCATGTTGAGTTTTAGACGATAGTCTCTTACCAATATTAATACTCCCCAGCACTCTGTCCAAAAACAAAATTGTGCTAAAAATTTGCTTGTTTTACTTCTGTTATTTAAATATATATAATATCAAGGATACTGAATATCGTCTTTAATTTCTTAATGCGTCTTTTTACATATTTAGCCAATATCAACCAACAAATCGACATTCACCAACGTACAGGACGATCATTGGGTTATTATTTATACAAAACAAAAGAAATACGGAGGGTGTTGGAAAGATTTCTTTTTTATAGCCCGAAAGAATTTTTTTCGTAGTCCGTTGAAACGAAAACTAGAATAAACTTTTGTCGAATCCGATTCAATTTCCACCAAAATCGCAATGAACGAAATACTGAGAGGTTGTTAAAATTTTACTACTAAGATCGACATTTTAGATGACAGCTTTTACTGTTATTGATATATTACCAAGAACTCTTGGAACTCCTCACCTCCCACAAGTGCTTGCTTAGCGCGTCTTCCAAACAAATGGCCTAATCATGACTGATATTTTATAATCTGTGTTAAACTAAGTTAATTCTTTTGTCTTCATTTCCATATTCTTGTTTATTATGCTGCCGGCTGTTTTCATACTTAGTATTTCGTCTTATTTTCATTTACCATAAGGCCGTATTCCCTTGACTTACTCCTTCAAAATAGCTTCAACTTGGATTTCTATTGCTAAGTGCTCTCTGAGAAAATTTTTCATTCCTTCTTTTAGTATTTTAGTTTCCCTTGCACTTACTTCCAAGCCACTAATTATTACATTATTCTTCTTGCCTCTTAAATCTTTTGAAAATCTTCCTTTAATTTAAGATTTTCGGTTTTAATCATTTCATTTTATTTAACTAACTCAGCGTTGTGATGTTTTTATATGCTTTGCTTCGGATATGTTTTCTTAGGACGAAAGATGAAAACTTAACAATTTCATCCTTGGGCAAAAGAAAACCAATCGCTATTTTTGATGAACTTGTGGTCAGAAAAATCTTCAAGAACTCATTTAGCACGAAACACTGTTCATTAGTAAAAAAGGAAATGTGTATATTGGAATTTCCCAAGAATCCTTTTTGTTATCCATAAATAATTCCCTTAATGATACTCACGTGGCGTCTGTGCATATCGATTTGTTGATTAAAGATTGTGAAGGATCATTAGCGAGCGAATACCGAATATAAGAAAACGCGGTAAATAATTTAAAATCAACACAGAAATTTCGAACGACCCACATAATTGTATTTATTTTTTAAATTAAGAGGAAGGCAATTCTCATAACAAAAGTCGACAATTATTTGAAGATTTCTCTGAAGTTTCATGCAATCTGTAAGTGGATGAATTTGAGTAAAAATCTTCATATTATCAGTAAACATTAAGTAGTCAACTGTTAGTCGATAGCTTATATCACACCAGACACTTATACTTGAAACCGTGTTGTCTAATACTGATCATATTAGCTACATGCGAATATATTGGTACGAAATAAACCCATACGACGCCCATGGGTTTTCGTCGGAATTATTGTCTACACAATTGTTGTGTGATTTGTCGTGTAAATTTAGATTACTGAGAAATAAATTGTTAAATTTTACCCACGCCAATTTTTAAAAACCTATTCAACGTAACAATATGATAGGATGGAGACCATATTCAAAAAACCCAAAATTCCCTAATGTTGAAATCTCCCAGCATGATTAATTTTGATTTATAATATAAAATAAAGATTATTTAGATGAACGATGTGAGGCGACGCTAGAGGAAAGGAAAATAGCAAGCATTCTGAGAGACTTACGAGAATTGTGGAGAGCACAGACAAGCGAAAACCAGTTTAACAAGTCTGCAGAAAGAAGAAGCGGGAAACTGGGAAAACAAAATGCAAGATAAAGAAAATCATTTCATAACTAATGGTATCATAAAGACGGCGGATTAATAGGTAACATTGAAGGAAAATTAAATACGGAAGGGACAAATATTGCACTAGAAAGATTTGTCGATGATAGATAAACCATCTGAAGAAGAAATTAGGAACAGTATCAAAAGTTTGAAGAAAAATAAGAGTTCGGGAAAAAACGGAATTATAGGCGAATTTTTGCAAGAAGGAGGAGAACTAGAGAAACAAAAAATTTGCGATGTATTAAAACAGATTTGAACATGAAAGATTGGGCATGAGAAACGAAGAGCAGACAAGCTTGGAAAGAAATAGTGAAAACCGCTATTTAAGGATTTACAAAGCTGAGAATTCTACATGCATGGCAGACATGCTTTATGTCTAGTGTAATTTATTTATTCCGTGCGTTCAAATATTTAATGGCTAACGACTCATCAAGATCTTTAGTGAACAAATCGACATTTGCAGACGTATAAATAGTATCATTATAATAGGTCTACTATTCGTATAAATACATGAACTTACTAAATATTATCACTAGTACCTACCCAGTAACAGTACCCACGCATCACACACACTTATTTGCAGAAGAGTTGTTTTTGTAATTCATTATATTAGCACAAAAATTTAAAATCTCGTGCAAACTGATTTCAGTTGGAAAAATGGAATACAACATACTGAGAGGTTAAAATTTTGCCAACGTGTTTATAAAACGTACCTTAATTGCGATATTCTAGATGACAGTCTCGTCCCGTTATTAACACTACCCAAAACTCTAACCTTAAACAAAATTATGCAAAAAGTGAATTTCCTCTATTTCAGCTTTATGCTCATAACCACTGTGATTGATGCAATTGTTATTGTAATGACAAACCAATGGAGTCTACTTTTTACTCGATATTTATGTCTATGTGGTGCATTTCTGATCGTATTTTCCAAATATATTTTTCAGAAAAATTTGATAATTATTAAATTTCAGGTATTAACTAGCTACGTGACTCTGTATCACCCCGCTCGTATCAATATGTTTGTCAACACCTACAAAAGAATATTTCCTTCTCTTTGGTCTTTAGACGGATGCAGAAATAAATTTGAAAAAATTGCAACTCTAGCAAAAGTTTTTGCATTGTTTATGACAGCAGCTGTTCTAATAATTGCAACTGCAGCTCTACCATGGCATGGAGATGAATATAATCTGTATTATCCAGTGAAAGTAGCTGTAGACCATTTTAATAAGTATGCACTAAATGTGTATTTATTCTTCTTCTATACGTACTTTTACCACGCTTCACTAACTCTAATTGCGAACATTTTCTCTCTAACATACTTGATACTACATTTATACAATCAGTTTTGCATGCTCAATGAAAAACTGAAAACATTGCCTGATAACCAACCTCAAGATCTGGTTAAGCAGGAACTGATTTCCTGCATTAAACTCCATCAAACACTACTCGAGTATGACAGTAAACGTTGTCAAAAAATTATTCTATCTTTTGTGTTTTCAGATACATAAAACTGATCAACGATTTACTATATTACCCGATATACTTTTATTCAGCTGGTGAAGTCACAATAGGATTAACTATAATTCTGTGCCCTGTAAGTTGACGTTGTACCAAAAATATTTCTATTTCTGTAATTTCTTTTAGAAAAACACATTGATCGATTTACTGAGAGCTATACTAGCCGCACTAATTACCGGCTCTGCGGTAGCAGGTTGTTGCTTCCTTGGACAAATATTAGAAAACGCGGTAAGTACTTGACCAGTTTTGCCAAATCCACTGTTACCGTGTCTTTTTAGTCTGAAGAAACTTTTAACGCCGCTTATAGTGCACCATGGTATACATGGAATACCAAAAATAGAAAATTGTTTCTGCTCTTTCTTCAACTAACCGAAAAGAAAGCAATTTTGTCGAGTTCTGGGATTATCACTGTAAACTATCAACTGCTGATAAGAGTAAGTAAAACTGAAATCCTGTATTTCGTATTATTAATTGTTGTAGCTTTTTCGAGCTGTTTACTCCACTGTGATGTGTATTATCCAACTACGGAGTAACAACGATTGAAGACAAGACACTGAGTTAAAATTGTCGGTTTAGTGTAACTGCGGCTTGTGCCATACTCTGTAGAATTATCAAATCAAATAAATATATGTTTCGTACACAAACGCTTCATTTTCATTTTAATTTATTTAGTCTGCTCTTTTACTCATTAAACCGCTTATGATCCATCCCAATCTTTAATGAGCAAATTGACCTTTAGAAACCGACAAGTAAATATCATTAAAGTAGAAACTTATTATTTATGCAAAACAAAAGGAATATCCATTAAATATTTTCGTTTATTCGCAGCAGGTCTCCATCTGTGACACATTTAGGTCTACAATTGTGTAATAAACGTTTATTCTAAATCAAATGGCATTCAGCGAAATACTGAGAGGTGATTTTTTTTTTAAAGTATGTCACATGTAACTTAGTTTTATTTTAGGCGACAGTCTTCTACCACTGTTAATACTTCCCAGAATTCTAAACGAAAACAAAATTGTGCAAAAAATTAGCTACTTCTATTACAGCTTCATGCTCATGACAGCTGTTGTTGATTTCAGTGTAATTGCAATAACAAACCAGTGGAACGTAGCTCTAACTCGATATTCATCTCTAGGTGGTGGAGTTGTTATGGTATGATTGAAAATTTTGATATCATACAAATTTTATTTTTTTAATTCCAGGCCATAACGGGTTACATGACTTTGTATCACCCCATCTATATCAACATGTTTCGGAGCATCTACAACACAATATTTCCGTCTCTCTGGTCTTTATATGTTGTTGGACGCAGACAAAAATTTCACAAAATGGCAACTCTAATAAAAATCGGGGCGTTGGTTATAACAATAGCGGTCATATTAATCGCAACGGCATGCCTACCGTGGTACGGGGATGAATATGACCTGTATTTTCCGGTGAAAGTGGCCGTAGATTATTTTAATAAGTACGTGCGAAATTGGTATTTATTTACCTTTTATACGTTGTTCTACCACGCCGGGTTGACAATAATTTCAAATCTTTTCTCCCTAACTTACATCGTTCTGCATTTATACAACCAGTTTTGCATGCTCAATGAAAAACTGAAAACATTGTCTGATTGTCAGTTTCAAGATGTAGTTACGAAACAGCTGATTTCTTGCATCGAACTTCACCAAACGCTACTTAAGTATAAAAGTAAATTGTAACTACAACGACTGCAGCTTTGTATTTTCAGATATATTAAAATGATCAACAATTTGATATATTACCCGATATATTTTTACTCAGCTAGTGGAGTTATAGTAGGATTGACTATAATTCTGTGCCCTGTAGGTAGAGGTTATAGGAATGAACACTACGATTCGTATAATTTTTTTTTTTAGAAAATTACACCAGCGAATCTACTAAGAGGGATTTTCCTCGCACTAATCACAATTTCAATCGTACTACTATTTTGTTCTCTTGGACAACTAGTAGAAAACGCAGTAGGTACACATTTATATAATTTAGTAAAATCTAACGCCAATTTTTTAGTCTGAAGAAACTTTTCACTCCGCTTATAACACAACTTGGTACGGCTGGAATATCAAAAATGAAAAACTGTTTCTGCTTTTTCTTTGCCTAAGCCAAAGAAAAGCGGTTTTGTCGAGTTCAGGAATAATAACAATTAATTATCGACTTCTAATAACGGTAAGTTAAGTTAAATTTAACCTATTCTGTATTGTCGTAGCTTTTTCGAGCTATCTACTCCACTATGATGTGTCTTATTCATATACGGACGAACGATGATTGAAGAGAAGATGGAAGATTAGAATTGCTGATTGGTGCAAACACAAACAATTATTTCAAATGTAATTTATCGTTAAATATAATCACAATTTATCTTTATTATTATTATTATGTGCGTAAGTTGGTCAACAGGTAATACCCAATTATAAACCAACGGTTAGCGGATCATCAAAGTGATCTTTCTCAAACAAACAGCTAAAAATTACTGTTGTCCCTATACAAGGTGAGATCTAAAGTCAACGGGTAATTAGAGATTAATAATTAAAGAGCAGCCAGCAATTTTTACTTAAATAAATCTAACACTAGAGTAAATTTCATGTAGAGGAGAGTATTTCTGAATGTCAATCCTTGGAGTCGGCAGAAAGAAAAGTTGTCGAAGGCGCGATGATGGCCTGGGTACCCAAAAGTGAAGCTGTTCCAAAAGTTGTGGACAATCGATGCCATAATGTATTAGTTTTTTGAAGAAATAGAGAGAATCTCTGATACGTTTAGTCTTTAAGTCGTTATCTCCAAATCTGATCAAAAGGTCAGATTGGGGTAGGCCTTTAGTAAGATAAATAGCGTCTATTTTGAATGCTAAAAACTTGAAAAAACGCCTCTGGATTTTTTCTATAGATTGAATGTAAAATTGAGCTGAAGGAGCCCATTCAAGTTTTGATCTTACGAAAGCACAATATAACGTATTAAAAGTAGTGATGGACGATCTGATGATAAACTCAAGGGATTTAAACGCTTCAGCAGTTATATTACTAATATGTAGAGAAAACGTGAGTTTAGAATCAAACATTATGCCAAGATCTCTGAAGGAATCCACTGTTGATAAGATATTCAAGTTAAGAGTGTAATTGAAACTAAGCTTACAACTTTTATTTGTTAGCGACGTAGTGTAGCATTTGTTGAAATTTATAGGTAACATGTTAGATTTACTCCAGTTTTCAAAAGTGTGAATATCTTCCTGTAGAATTTGACAGTCTTCAACATTAATATTATGACGAAAGATTGTTAGGTCGTCTGCGTAAATTAAAACCTGAGAACTAATATTTTTAATAACATCGTTGATGTAGAAATTGCAAAGTAGCGGACCTAGAACAGAGCCCTGTGGGACGCCGGACGGGACCAAAGTTTTTTCGGATTGATGTTGGAGGTACTTCACGCATTGATATCTACCAGTTGGGTATGATTCCATTAATTTCAGTAAAAAATCGGAGAAGCCAAAGTTGCGTAATTTTATCAATAGAATTCTGTGGTTGAGTTTGTCAAACGCCCTGGAAAAATCAGTATATATCACGTCTAGCTGCTGTTTAGCATCGAAACTATTGGCTACGAATTGGGTGAAACAACTCAAATTCGTTACAATAGAACGACCACTTATGAATCCATGTTGGGATTCCGTTAACCAATTGTGCACATTAAATGAGAGAAATTTATGAAGAATCATCTTAAAAATCTTTGAAAAATTGCAAATCAATGAGATGGGTAGTAGGTGATTCTCTATTAAATGTCTGTCCCCTTTCTTAAAAATTGGTGAGACGACAGATAATTTCCAGACGTCTGGGAACGATGCAGTTTTCCAAATAATATTAAATATAACTGATAAAGGATAAGAAAACACTGAGGCACAGTCATGAAATAAAAAATCTGGTATATTATCATGGCCACTGGTCATATTAGGTTTGATAGTCATCAAGATTTCAAAGACCTTGGATTCCGTAACCAAAATAAAATTAATGGAATTATTGCTGGACTCATCAACAGAACTTGGACTATAATCCGAATAACTGGTGTGAAAGTGTTCCATAAAGGCATTTACAATGTCTTTGGGATTACGCAACATATTATCCAAATAAATAATTTCAGAAGGTTTACCAGAACGCATTTTCAGACGACTAATATGCGCCCAGAATTTCCTTGGATCGGTCTTAATAGTGGCTTCCAGATTTTGAGTATACAATTGATACGCGATTTTGATGTCATGTTTAAGCTTGTTACGAATAATTTTAAAATGCTGAAGAGTTAGTTGGTTTTTGTGGGATTTATATTTACGCCATAGTCTCCATTTTCGCTTGATTTTTCTAATAATATTACAAGTGAACCATGGTGGAAACGAATTATTACAATAATGATGAGATTTGGGTACATAAAGATCCAATATCCTATTAAGTTTGTTATAAAAGAGGCAGCAAGCAGTAAATGAGAGTGGAAGCGGGTAAAGGGGCGGTTGGATTTGAACAGAAGTTTAGTGAGAGAGGTGATTGTAAAATATTGCAAGAATGTTGGAAAGAAATAAAAAGGGAAGAAGGAAAACATGTTTGAAACGAAAGTGACAGGGTATTGTGAAGGAAAGGGATATGTATGTGAAGAAATAGAGAGATGAGAGAAAAGGGAAGGAGTGTGAAAGAAGAACTGATTGTAAGAGGTAATTTAGTTAAAAAACTGGAGAGTAAGTCAAGGGAATACGCACTTATGATAAATGAAACTAGGACGAATACTTAAGTTTGAAAACAGCTGCCAGCATAATAAACAGGAATATGGAAAAGAAGACAAAAGAATTGACTTAGTATAACACAGATAATAAAATCTCAAACATGGTTGGGCCATTGATTGCAAGACACGCTAAGCAAGTACGTATGAGCGGGGAAGGAGAAAAAAAAACGAGGCTGACCAAAGAAGAAAGAACGCTATGTACAAGATTTAAGAAAAGGTGAAACGAAGGACAGAAAAGCTTGGAAAGAAAGAGTGAAAGGATTTACAAAGCCGAGAATTCTTTATGTATGTCAAATATGCTGTAAGTCTAGTGTAATTTATTTATTCCGTCCTTTTAAATATTTAATGGCTAACGATTCATCAAGATCTTTAGTGAACAAATCGACATTTGCAGACGTATAAATAGTATCATAAAAAGAGGTATAATATTCATATAAATACATGAATTTATTAAATATTGCCATTTATACCCAGTCGCAGTACTCACGCAATACACATCCTTATCTGCAGAAGAATTGTTTTGGTAATTCGTAATATTACCACGAAAACTTAAAATCTCGTCCAAAGTGATTTCAGTTTTTACACAAAAGTTGGAAAAATGGAATATAACAATATACTGAGAGGTTAAAATTTAACTACTTGTTTACAAAACGCAACTTATTTGCGATATTTTAGATGACAGCCTTTTCCCGTTATTAACACTACCCAAAATTTTAATCTTAAGCAAAACTATGCAAAAAATGTGCCTTTTCTATTGCAGCTTTATG